TTTAATTTCTCCAAGGATTTTGCAAGTTGAATCATGTAGTTAACATCACCCATGTAAAACACATTCCCGAAAGGCAAATTCTACAAAGTTCACCACTGACATTTCAACACAAGCACAAAATGTCTGAAACAATTAGCATCATCGTCCGTTACAAAGAAATTGCATACAGTGACTTTCCAGCTACTTTTACAGCTACAGCTAAATTTCCAGGAATGCAATAAATACAAGATCTCAGATGAACATTTCTTACACAGGAATCTGTAATAAGGTGTACAACATTACAAAGAATACAGGAATGGTTCACCATAATTCGATCTTCTGTTACAAGTTTTCAGGAACCCGTTTAAGAACTTTTAAGACTGATTTTCTATCAGGTATCAGGACAGGTGGTTGCTTTTGATTACATGCCTTAGTTTCACCCAAAAATACACAGTCAATTCACCTTACAGTATATTCTGTGATGAACATATAAGAAATGCCATACAAGATTTTTAGAATACAAGTAATTGAGGGGAAGTGACAAATTTATGACACATTCCCTACTTAGACAGAGGATTAAACACAGAGTTTAGCCAACAGGTACTAACTGATGCCTCACACAGAATTATGCATTACAACCTAATGCTTTCCCTTTCCTACCACATAAAGCTCTGGTACAAACCAGACAAACCTCTAGAACAGGAGCCAGGAGGTTTGCACTCATTTATTCAGAAACAAAAAAAAAACACTAAACAAAATGTAACTGCCATTTACAGCACCACATTAAACTGACTTCAGAAAAGGTTGAGAGTGAAATTGTTTGCTTGAGCAACTGAAGAGAACGATCCTCTCTACATGAATTTAATTTGAAAGCACAATCTGCCATTGACTTATTCAGAACCAACCATTGTGACAATCAAATCTGCTTGATTCAGCTAGCGGGGGGTGGAGGCGGGGGGTGGAGGAAGAATTTCAGTAGAAATCAATTCAAACATTCTCCCAAGTATTTATTCTGTTGTAAATAGTTTTATGTCTTCTGTAAGTTACACTTGCAGTGTTTAGTTTTTAATTTAAGTTTGTACTTGGACAAAGCCAAAACCAGATGTGTGTACATGACAAGTTGGTTAAGCAAGGTGACTTCAAGCGCCAATGATTTTTTTTATTTAGGGACAGCAATCTACTCTTTGCTTTAATTCTCCTCCTCTCCCTCAGTCATCCAAAATTACAGCCCTGTATGTCAGGGGCAGATGGTCACTGGCTCATTGGCCTCATGGCAATTGGAGGCGAATGCCATGATTTCTATTGCATACGCTGATTTCTACTGCATCTTTTGCCAAGTGGTCTCCCAATTATAAATAGTTAATTCTCATCATAATCTTTAGCATAAGAAAACACAAGTTGGATCAAGAAATAACTTTTTTTAAAAAAAAACAAAAAGATCTATTGCGAACTTGCGGGTTTGTTTTTTCCCTTCAAAAACCAGCCGGGCTGAAACAAAAGATCATAAGAGCTGAGACCGGTGTAACAAAAAAGTTATAAACAAGTTACAATCGCACTTTACAGACCCATCACTGGGGCAAACGTACAACTTATCAACAAGCTACAGCTTGGTAAAGGTTTCAGCACTGCGACCATATATTATTATACTAATATGGGACACCATTTACCTAATTACTTAAATTTGTTTTGTAAATCAATAATTTGTTTTAAATCCATTCAAAAAAAACTACAAATATAAAGTACATTTACAAAGGCCATGAATACATTTTAATTACAGCATGCTTAACGTTCCATGGCTTTGTGATAAAGAGATTGTTTTATTTTTGGTAGTAACAATTGGTACTTGGGATAACTTAAATTGGTTATATCCATTCATCGCTCTCTTTCCTCACTCCTTCCCAGATTAATTTCATGATTTTATTGCCAAACATAAGGCTATTGAGGGTTTTGGAGCAACGGAATTGTTGAAATATATTTCACAGTGAACACTAATCCCACCACCAAAAACATTGTCTTCAGCTTGACTGGAGTTCCAGGCATATTAAGAAAAGTGCATTGACATAAATGGTTTGCACCACATTGCAGGTTTCATGCCTGTGCTTGTGGACAACTGAAAGGCTATTGTCATCACCTTGAACAGCAAATTAGACCATGAAAAGACAAGCGAAAAAGAGACACTTTTCTAAAATACATTTGATAGATAAATAAATGCTCTCCTCCCTTCAAAGAAAAGGGATTCCAAGGAAGTGAAGAGGGCAGCTTTGACTGCACACCAACTTCTGATGGTTCTAGTCTTCTATCCGGTTGGGCTTTGAGAAAGTTAAAAGGCAATAAAAACAAAATGCATCCAAATGCTACAATCTGTATTCATGGGCGGATGACTATTTATAGTTCAGAATGCAAAGCAGATGAATAGTAGAGGGAAGAAAGCTCAATATTTTCAGTAATTTACTAATAAAGCAGTAACAATAACCCACCCTCTGTTAAATCAGTGCCTACACTCTCCAGCGATTTTTTGACTTAATTACAACTTGCATATATATATATATGTATGTATATATAGGGCCCTTCACGCAGGGGAGCGTCTCAGAGCGCTTAATTACACATTCATGAACACTTTAAAAATCAGGCTTTTGTGTTATAAAGACAATAAAATTGAGATATTTTAAATCGACCTGGCTCAATAAGCACGGAAGGACGGAGCATCAATAAGCAGAAGTTTACAAAGGGAACCATTGCAAAAAAATTAAAAGAATGAGGTCCAGTGGATAAATTAAGCAGCTGGGTTACGGATAGCTGGGTCATTGCCTCACTGATGTGACAGAGGAATGGATGTTGATAAAGCAACTACGAAGGTATAGATTTTGATTAATACATTTTAGTGATTTTACGTTTAGGACGAGAAGTGTCAGTACTAAGAATAGAACCACTTTTTGCATCAAGTATCAGTATCAAACACTCAGGCCGAACGCCAGTTGAAACTCCCATTACACCACCCAAATGTACCATGTCCTCAAACTCAAAGGCAACTCCCTTATTTTGTCACCAACACGTTTCCATTACCCACAGCAGCCATCAAGTCGCCGAAAACAAAAAACAGCCTTGTACGTCAGGGGCCGAAGGTAATTTGCTCATTGGCCTCATAGCAATTGGGAGGCGACTACCACGATTTCCATTGCATACGCTAATTTCTATTGCACAAGTTGACTTTATGCCAAATTTATCGAATTGCAAGCATTTTTTTTTGCCGTGGTCTATCTGGAGCAGCTTGGTTAAGATTCACTTCACTTCAGAGGCTTTCAGTCAATGGAGAATATATTCATCACCATAGTCTAGACTGAAATTTCAAAAGGTTTCAAAAGGAAGACAATTATTCCTACTCATTGTGTCAATCTTCTTTTTCCCCCTTCCATATAAGGCCATTGGAGTTCATTAAAGATCTACTGGGCTGTTATTTTTTAAATACATACATTTAATAAAAATGTATTTATTATTTACATTAACTGATGCCACCTCACAACAGCTCGTCTGTCGTAGCCAATGCTCTGTCCACACCAATGTTTAATATAACCTGATCTCGTGGATACTTCTACCCTGGTAAACCACGCAGCTACACTAACATGGCACATTTCCTTTACGGAGAATATTCTAACACTAAAGATCGAGGGAGTATTGCAGACCTGTCTGGTTTCATGCTGCTCTGATGTTACTTCCCCTAATTAGAATGCACGACACAACCACAAATAAAGCTGCCATCTGGAATCTTCCAGGACTGAGGAACTGCACTGCACTGAAAGATGATGCAAAATGGTGTCGTACAGGAGTGAAAAAAATTCAACAAAAAAACAAGTGGTATTGTAGCACAGTAGAGGTCAAACATTTTAAACATTCACTTCACATCTTTATTATTGCAAAGTCACTGCTCATTGTTCTAGCTCACCAGCTATACGAGGAGAGCTGGCACATATCCCACTGGCTACACAGGGAAGCGGCACCAAATGTGGAGGCTCCTAACAAGCCAATTTATCTGGCCATGAAAAATTGGTTAAGAGTTTAATAAAGTGGAAAAAAATGAGAACAATTGTAATTTTCCAAGTTTCTAGGAACAAAACTTCATAAATGATCAGCTGTCTAGTCTGAAAGCAGTTTAAATCAAGAATTTATCTCATCCTTTAACCCACTTAACCAGCTCCAATCCCATTTTGTCTGAAAGTGAAGCATTTTCCAACATACATGTTTGAAGTTGTACATTTTTGGCAGCTGAATCCGAAAAGACTGCAACCAAAACAGGGCAAGTGGATTTTTGACACTGCAGGTTTTAATTAAGACTTTTATTTGGTGTAAACAGACTTCTTATATATCCTGGTGAGGATTTAGAACTTTTATTTTTAAACTTCAACCACAAAGAATTTATGAGCTGTAAGGTTTACACAACTAAAAGATTTAAAGTTTTTTTATATTAAAAAAACAGAAACAAGTGCATTTAGTGCTCATTTTACACAAATTGTTTGAGGGACCCATCATCCATTTTACAGGCTGCACGATCTGTGAAAATCGCTCGCTCATCCTTTGCATGATGAGCACTGCAGAGTGAAAGACCCACCATCAATGGAAACTGCTGTGAGTGTTGCTATAAACTCTGAATACAACAGCCACATGGCTTTTGGGGGAATTGTTAAAGCATGTAATCCAAACACACCTCATTTTTTTTTAAAGTTGGGAAACGTGGCATATTAGTGCCCTCAATTAGTGCTCATACACTTCATTTGTAATGCCATGTAAATGCTTTTAAGTGTAAGAATATAATTTACTTTACCATTCTCAGAAATTCCAATTTGACCGTTAACCTGACATTGATGTTTTTTTTTAATCAGTAACTGGTGGTCTCAAGTATAATGTCACCAGGCATGGGCACCAGTGGTACTGTTTGAGAAACTTCTCTGGACTACTAGAAAACTTTGTTTGGAAAAAAACGACTGGGTATATTTCCTGAAATATCTTTGCGCACAGCACCAGTAGAAATCTGTCCTTTATTTTACTGGTGACTATTCTGGTGTAACAAAACATGAACAATTCAAAGTTCTTGTGCACAAGCTTCTCCATTACATTGAAAAGGGAAACAAAACACCTACAAGATGTAACTTGATGCACACAAATTTTACAGGGACAGTTTAATGTGAATCCATCCATTGCAGACTTGGCAAGGTCTTGGCAAATGGGAGTGTGGCATGATTGCAGCATTAGATTCATTGCTACCACTTACATGTGGCAGACATTGCCTCAGTTGTATCACATTGCATGAAATGGACCAGTACATGACAGCAGGAGTTTAAATATTCTGCCTGACCACTAACTTCCAAGAAAACACAAATGAGGAGTGACATCTGCAAGTTAGGGGTACAGACTAAGAATACTGTCTCTGCTGAACAAGACCTGGTCTCTGTCGCACAACTAACCAGAAACCACTGTAGACTGTTGACATTATCACTCTCCAGCAAATGATGGGTTAAAAACAGTCAGAAACAAAAGATCAGGAAAATAGTTAAATAAATTATTATGTACAATTTGCCTTGGTCTTCTTTCCAGAATATGAACATCTTGATTTTCTGAGGCTCTTGTATGTCTTCAAACGGCCTAATCTCCCATCTTCACTCTGGACGTCTGTTTTAAAGAAAAGGTGAGGGGGGAATTATCAAAAGGTTTATCATCCTAGTGGCTCCCCAATCCCCCCAGTCCTGGCCAGACTGCACTGGCTCCTGTCCCAGAGAGGATCGACTTCAAGATCCTCACACGTCTTCAAATCCCTCCACTCCTCTGCACTCCCCGACTTCTCTGACCTCTCTCCTCACAACAGTGCCCGATGCCTTCGTTCCACCGGGTCTGGTCTCCTCCTTGTCCCCCGAGTTCTCCGCTCCACCCTCGGTAGCCGTGCCTTCAGCCACTATGCCCCGAGGCTCTGGAATTCCCTTCCTCACTCCCTTCCCCTCGCTCCCTCTCTTCCTATTTTCAGGTCTTGGCTGAAGACCTTTCTTTTCGATCGCGCCTTTCGTCACTCCCCCCCCCCTCCCCCCCAGCTCTTCCCCGGGATCCGTTACTTTGAAGCTCTGAGACGCCGTCCGGCGTGGAGGGCGCTATATAAATCCAAGCTGTTGTTGTTGTTGCCTGCTGCAATTAACTGATTTTCTGTAAATGTCTCACGTTGGACAAGCTAGACAGCTAAAGCAGCACGCTGAATAGAATAGAAAATTGCTGAAAACACGGTAAAGTGTGTAACTCATAATTAAATTAGCCATGAAGCGAACAAGTGTTGTCAAAAATGGTTTTAAGTTGGAATTAAATGTCAATCGCCACAGAATTCTATTGCAAGTAAACATTAGGTTAATAAATCTCAAGGTCTCACTACAGTAAATACCTACTCTGAAATATACAATGAAGTGATCTTACCTGTAGAATAGCCACAATGACACCAAACAACCCAATGGCACTACCAAAAATCTCAACAATTAGGATCTTCACAAAGAGGCTGGCATTCTGGGCATCAGCCAGGGCAGCACCACTGCCCACGATACCAACACAGATGCCACAGAAGAGGTTAGAGAATCCTACAGTCAGGCCGGCTCCAAACATAGAGAATCCTGAAGAGAAACAAAATGTTAAAGCTGCAAAGTCAAAACAGCTCAGATTACTAAGCCTGAATATCACTTTGTAATGAAACAAGTGTGCATCCACGTGTTTTCATGGCCTCATTTATATATAGAATGTATAATTTCCCAAAAGCAATTCTTTCTTACCCTACCTCACTTTCTCCCGTCCTAGAAACAAGCTAAGCGAGGAACTGGATTCCATCCATCAATATCAAGAAGCTAACCCATGCTTAACCAGGCTGGGCAAAACCCCAACCAGCGCTTAGTTAAGTCAAGCCTGACACCTCAAACGTGGAACATTCTTTTGATTACTAAAATAGATTTATTTCAATTTAAAGGTTCCACTGTGTTTCTTCCCCTCCCAACTCCCCACAAAAAATGTTCTTCACCCATCAAAACCCCATTCACACTTAAGGAAAGCACAATTTCTGAACAGCTCGACAGTATTTGAACTATTAATGCGTCAGGTTACAAAACAAATGAGATTGGCACCATCTCTCCTCTGCAACACAAACCACACACTCAGTCATAACATAACTGAAAAGTTTGACAAAAAGAGTGCTACACTACTTAATTACATTAAAATTAAGAGCAATTTGGTGGACCACCTATTGGCAACAGGATTAAGGGTAGAGACTGATTTTACTCACTGCCCTTAGCTAAAGATATAGGGACTTTTATTTGTTGTTTCTGCTAAAGACTAGAAACTGGAGAATGAAGGCATAGTGCCCTGAACACAGTGTACAATCCTGTCAAATTCAAGACAAGACCACGACATAAGGTTCCATATAAGGTTTCCAGTCAGTAAAACTAACAAAAAGATCATTTTCTTCAAAACAATAGAGCTGTAACATATTAGTTTAGTCAAACTGTGATATATTAAAAGGGAGACTGCAAAATAATTCAAATCATGGCAATGCCCAGAAATCCACAATTCTCAAAGCTTCAAGCTCATCCATCAAGTTCACCACAATCATCAACTTTGGAATTCTCCTGCAACACTCCTCTTTCCATCACAAAATTCTCTGGATACGGATGATGGATTACAATTCGCCACTATCCAGTTCACAGATCCCAAATCATTTTAAAGATATAAAGTCAAACATACCCGCTTGGTAATTCTTGGCTCCAATGGTCTGAGGAGTATTGCCACTAAACGGCTGTAGGAAAAAAAAGGTTTTTATTGAAATAGAAATTAAATAATATGGGGCATCAGTCTGGTTATTCGCCATCCACAGTAAAACCTCACATACCTCTGCCATGTTACTGATGACAATCGCCATAATAATCCCGTAAATCGCGACAGCTTCACAGAAAATGATGCTGGAACAACAGAAAGCAAAAAAAGCATGAAAATCACATGCAGTGTCTGAAAATTGATCCTAGCCCTTTTCTAATACTACTACTAAACTGGCTTAACATTATGTGCATATGCTCCCAGTGTGGGAAATGTCAGCCTGTGTGCAGGTTTTATTACACAACCCTAACTGGCAGCATTTGATTTAGTTATGATGAATGCACTACTTTTCTACCTTGCCAATAAGACATTATGGAGAAAGGAAAGCTATCTTTAAAACCTTTTGTATGATGAATCAGTTTGATGATGCCAAATTTATAATAAATTCAATAACTGAAGCGAAAAATTAACACACACACGCCTGTCAGAGATATTTTAAAACTTATTACCTGACAAGATTTTTGGTTTTAATCCTTGGAGCCTTCACACCACCCCCGAGAATACTGGAACCAGTGATGTAAATCCCCCTGAGCAAATGGTTAAGAAAGCAGATGGTTAGAAGTAGTAGTTATTTTTCTCCACTTGCTCTTCTATCTCTTATCTGTACCATATTCTATTTTTTTGGATAAAAAATGACCAGAAAAACTGTGTTCAGGGAGAAAAACAGACGATAAAGAACCTCATTACACTACAACAATAATGTATAATTAGCAATTGAAAGTTTAATTCAGGCATTCGTGTCTGTCCAAAGCCAAAGTAATGAAGTTCAAATTGGCACCTAATAGGAACTAGACTTTTTTCAAAATACTGTACCAACCAAATTCTAATTTACAAAATTACTCTAACACGTTGAGGCACAATAAAAATGTTAAAACCTTTAATAATGCATTTCTATGTATCAATTTTCTCAGAAAGCTGCTTTTTTAAAGAAAAAACTGTGGTTTCCTTGTCCCAGGCACCATCTTTTATTCCCAGACAGGAGGAAAACAGGAAACCCTAAGTGAAGTGGACGAGAAACCTGGGATAACTGATCTCTTCAGGGGCACGGAAAAAAATGGTGCGGACGAGGTCGGGGTCTACATACAGCATAATCACTGTGCGTGAAATTGCAGGCACAAATCCACATCATCGCACACCTCAGCTTTGGTAAAGAGAAGAAAAGCAATCTAACCACAGGCAGACGTCAGAGTTTGATGGAAAATGGGTGTGTTGCTGTGATTTGAAGGCACATTCCTGATTTTCCATGTCCTTTGTAAATATTTAAAATATGCTTTTGATTCAAGCAAATACAGCAATTGTAGTTTTTAGCGTTGGCCATCAATACACCATATTTTGTAGGCTCCACACCCTCGATTCAACAACATTACATTTGTACAGTGCCTTTCATGTAGGAAGGACGTCCCAAGGCGCTGGACAGTGTACAGCATTTCATTTCATTGAACAGCAATGACAGCAAGATATTGCACACAGTAATGCCCCATGATCAGCCACAGATCAGCAAGTGACCAATTTTATTTGTGGGGATTGTTGGTCAGGTCACCGCGGGAAACTTTTCCAACAGTGCCATACGATCTTCAACGTCCACCTGGACAGGCAGACAGAACCTTGGTTTATCCACACAGAGCCTAATAATAATCCCTCCAAAACAAAACAATAATAAATTGGTCATTTTTAATCTACGACTGTTTGTGGGACATTGCTGTGCACAATTGGCTGCCGCGTTCGCCCACAAATATACAGTCAATTCACTTTACAGTGTGTTCTGTGAAGCGCTTTGGGACGTCCTCCGACGTGAAAAGCGCTATATCAAATGCAAGGATTATTATTATTAATATTCAAAGTGAAGTTACTGACGGCTGGTCAAGAAAACACGAACAAAATCAAAAAAAATCTATCTCCTTTAAGACAAAAAGATCTTGCAAACAAAACTCCTTTTTTAAAATTCAAGCTTATGCATATTTTAAACAGGATTTAATCCAAAAGTAACTGGCTCAATGGAGCTGTTTATGCTAGTCATGAATATTAAACAACTGCTTTCCATCTGACTGGTCCCGCAACTATAAATAGCTGTTCTATAAATGATGTACTACAAAACATAAAAAGCACATATATCCCTGTACCGGTAAATAATAAAATGTATTATTTGAGTTCAAATATATTGCATTGCTGCAATACTGTTTAGTTATTTCTCTACAACCTCATTTATTTTGAAATTATATGCATTTGTGAAAAAAGGTTTTCATATGTCTCAAGGCAGCAGCATCACACTGAGCTGGCTGATTAATGATGATTAATATTGCTAAATCTCATAAACTGTGCTTGTGTGATTACCCAAACCTTTCACTGGGCTCC